GTCGAAATTTAGGAAACTTGTGAGAAAGGTTGGGAAATTACTTAAATAGTTAGAATTCGGTCTTTTAAGCCTTTATTGACTAGTTCTTACCTATTTTAACTAGTTTGCGATCGTTCGACTTTGAATTAGGAGCTTGGGCTTGTTCTTGATATTGGGAGCGCGCTTTGGAGCGAGGTGAGTCTCCTTTCTAACCTTGTAAGAGGGAACTGTCCCCATAGGATTAATAATTGAGTAATTGTTGCTAAATGCGGGGGTTACGCACGCGCTAGGTGACGGAGCCCGTGCGTAGCTACTACTCTGTTAACTGTCCGGGTAATTTAGGACCCACACCATGCTTGTTTATGTAAATCTTTATACTATCTTGGTATTCTGAACACCTAGGATATGCTAGAGGCTTAAACGGGGAATAAGAACGCGCTTGCATAATTGTTGAAGTCTTGCTTGGCCTTAATGACTATTGATGTGCCTTGTGTGCATATTTGATATTATCTTCTTATTTGTGGATCGGGCCGATCGCCTCGGTATGAGTAGATGCATCATAGGCGCGCCGTCGACCCTCGGCAAGTGCACAGTTTATTTCTGTTGGATCGGGTCGTCGCCTCGGCATATTTACGCATGCTTATATGGCTTTGCCTGAGAGTGTTAGATATTAGAACTGTTGTTTTCCATGACTCGAAAGGAATTAATAATTGTAACTGAAGCAATTGATTAAATCTGAATCTTAGCGAGAATATGACTTATATGCCTTGTTGTAAACTGTTGCCTATTAAAGAATTCTCATTGTTAAACTTGCATTTATAATATTATCTGACCTTAGTGAGTATCAAGTCGGCCTCTCGTCTCTACTTCTTCGAGATTAGGCGGGATACTCACTGGGTGCATATTGTTTATGTACTCATGCTACGCTTCTGTACTTAAATGTACAGGGTCTGAGGCAGGTGGATCCGGTTATTTCTCTGGTGCGCATTCGTGAGCAGACTTGGGACTTCTACGGTGAGCTGCTTTCCTTCCATGCCGATCTACAGCCGAAGAAGTCTTTCTTTTGTATTGTTATATTCTGTCTATTCTGATCCAGACAGTAGGGTAGTGTGGTATTCTTTTGGGTTGTATATTCTACTAGTTGCCTATAGCTTGTGACACCAGGTTCTGGCACACACTTTGGTAGACGATTATTTTAGGGTTGTGTAACTATTTTATTATGGTATTCATCTCTCCTGGTTTTAAATTTCAAGTTGAGTGTTCATTCCACTTATTCTAATTAAAACAATATGATTATTTTAGTAATATTTCCGCAATGGCTTGCCTGACAAGAGTGTCAGGCGCCCTCACGACCTATTGTGAAAATGGGTCGTGACATTTAGAGAGATTCTAGGGTTTATTACTTGGTGGCTAAGTCACTCTCTCCCTATAAACAGAGGGTTCTATTCCATTGAAATCATCCCAAATCAATAAGAATTCTCTCTCCCTACTTTTCTCTGCAATACTATTCTTCTTCTTTTATTGTTTCATAACACGTTATCAGCACGAGACTCTAACCAATTGAGTAGAAGCTTTGGGATTGAGCATAATGATTGTCAATTGTTCCACGAACTTTCTTCATGATTAAATTCTGGATTTAAGGTATGTATTTTACCGTATTTTTCTCTTTTATTTTATAATTTAATTTTATATACAAGCAAAGACAACAAAGTTTGATAATAACTCTAATGGAGTTTGTAAGAAATTATAACCACCTGAAGTGGTAAAATTTCTATGTCTTGCCATGATCAAATTCAGGTATGATTGTGGGCAAAGAATTGAAAACCCGTCGCATTGAATTTGCTCCATTCTCATTCCCTTAAGAGAATGTGATAGCACTATGTAATAAGTCTGAAAGAAGACAAAATTATTACCATAAAGGTATCAATGAATGTGGACGTGGTAATAGACGAAATTATAATCGTCATTATCGTGGTAATGAGAATAATAAGGATTCTCAAACTAAGCCTTCACTCTATGAAGTTAATGTTTGTCATCGATTTGACATAAGATTTCGTAAAGCACATACATATGACTATGGTCCATTCATGATGTGAATGTGACAACATGTGATTTATGAATACATATTCATTCTTGAAAGAATATGAACATGCTAGTGGTAGTGAATATACCACGCACTCACCTCTAGAAGGAGGTTTGAGATGATATAAGAAAACAATGTTCATTATTATGACATGAATGGTCATTGGTCACTTACCTATTGTACGCCAAAATATTTTGATAATGTGATTATTAAAGAATAACATTAATGCAAGAAACATATCTTGCATATAATTTTGACCATAACCATAATGGTATAACTTTCTCTTTAAAAGAGATATTCACCGTATGGATACTGATGAATATGTGATTGTACAAAATTAATTGAGAGCTCTAGAAGAGCCAATTATACTATTTTGGAGAAAATTAATTATCAATAAGACGTTGTGTTGTAGCAAGTCTCAAAGAAACTTATTGAGTTTCTAAAGTATTCGCGAAAGCGGTAGGTCATACTGAGACTATAAATAAAGGAAAGATTTAATATCTTCTATTACTACAACTTGTAGCGGGGTAATATGTATGTGAAAAGCTACCCGCTTTATTCTTCAGTTTGTACTACACAAACAAAAGAATGTCACAATAAAGAGAAGTTTATTGATATAAAAACCCATATCATAATAAACTTGGAGTTTATTGATAATTGCACACGTCATGGTGTAAATCTGAAGTTTATCAATATTGATAATTTATTCAGTTGGCATAGTTGGTTTACCCATATTAATTTAAGTATGATGTGCAAAAATAAAAGAGAATTCACATGGGTAAATATTAAAGAACTAGAAAGTTCTTTACGAATTCTCTTATGTTGGTTGTTCTCATTAATTAATATACCAACTAAAATTGGGATTGAATCCCATGAATGCTGGAAATATCAAAGGTGAATATTTGCCCATTCACCTGCCATGTATACCACATAAGATGCATCTATGAGATGGTTACATGTACGATTATTAATAACCCGCAACATGGTATTTTGCGAGGTAACTTGCTTAATAATTTAATTTCGAGCATAATTTCCAGATTTTCTATTCAAGAAGTTCATCTTCATAAGTTGGTTTACATCACAGTTGATTTAGCAAAATGATTTATTGAGTGCCTCCACTTAATAGCTAAACTATTGCTTATGAGAATAAAATTTTGTATATCAGTTTGATATACGTTATATACCAAAGTATATTATTTTCTCCCCTCACAAGTGGTTCAGGGTCAGGAACCTAATAATTCCATCTTATTATTATTGATGTGCGATGTATATTTTGATTAACACCATAACGCACAAAGGTGGATTCTCAAAGTTGAGGTAACAAGTTAGTTTTTCTAACATGGGGGGGGGGGGGGGGGTACATGATAAACAGTTGAGAAAAAGTTACGTGGAATGAATTATCATTTGTACATCTAGATCCTCGAATAAGATAATATGAACTTGAGGTTCATAAAAATATAATTCATCTGCAATATATTGCAAAGCATGCCAGACGCATTTGCTGACCCAAAGAAAGTAACTATATTCTCATTGCAAATGCTCCTATTAAGACCTAGAAGGACAAATCTGTGGTACGCTTAAGGCGTATAGATCGGTTTCAAATCAACTTCTTGATAAAGAAGATGAGCAAATGATCAAAATGATCATAATAAGGAGGCAAGTGATCTAGAAGATCACATGACATAACACTTCATAAAATCTCATGAGAGATTCAGGTACCTGAATATATGAATGAAGAGATCTCTATGTTATGTCTTTATGAAAAATAAGGAGGTTGGAACCGATATAAAATGTTTGTCGACGACATCTATAATAACGCTAAATATATATGAGGATCTTAAGTCTGGAGAAACAATTCAAGTAGAATTTGGTTTCATATGAAAGACATGTAGTTTTGAACATGTAGTTCAAACATTTGAAAGTATGAAGTCAATGGTATGTGCAATCAGTTTTCGATATCTTATATGTCTAGCATGACATGAAAACTTGATATGCATCTAAAGTCTATTATATGGCTTATATGACTTAACAATCCCTGAAGGATTTAAATTGCTTAAAGCATATAGAATTCATGGTCATGAAGTACTACATCCTCAGTGCAATTTATGCACAAATGTATCTTGCTATAACTATATGCATGATAATATGATAGCAAGGGTTTTCACCCCTATGTGAAGATATTGAAATGATGATTCCAACAAGATCATATGAAGACAATACATCTATCAGGGATGATGATTTCAAGGTGAAACAAATTCGTTGAAGTTAATATGGCTGGTTTGTTTATCAAATATCTACCAACGATCTTTTGAAGATGGTGCACAAGATTGGGATGCGAAGGCTCAAAGATGTGAATTGATGCTCTCATCAGGGGGAGTTAATATGCGTTGTACTCTTTTTTCCTTACAAGGTTTTGTCCAGCTGGGTTTTCCTTGCATGGTTTTTAACGAGGCAACCAATAGGCGCATTTCTATACATGTGTACTCTTTTTCCTTTTCTAGAATTTTTTTCCCATTGAGTTTTATTTTAGTTAAGATTTTAACGAGGCACATTATCTGTTGAATAGACATTCAGGGGGAGTGTTATAAATAAATTTTATTTATGGTGAATGTCTATATTTAGAGAGATTATAGGGTTTATTACTTGGTGGCTAAGTTACTCTCTCCCTATAAATAGAGGGTTCTATTCCAGTGTAAATCATCACAAATCAATAAGAATTCTCTCTTCTACTTTTCTTTGCAATACTATTCTTTCTTCTTTTATTGTTTCATAACAAAAAAAGGCTTAAGCACGAAAATACCTTGATAGGAAACAAATAGGAGTATATTTTAGCAAACTGTTTTTAAATTACCCGTAATTAATATTTCTGTTAGTGGGACCCAGAATCCACTTGTCAAACAATAAGAGGAGAAACATTCTGCCACGTAAGACTTGTGTTTCGTCATTCATCCAATCGTCGTTTCTACTCTTTGAAAGAAGAAAACAACAGTTCAATCCATAAGCAATTCTCTGTTTCGTAGACCACTCTATCTTATTCTGCACCAAAATTAGGGCTTCGAAATGAAGAAGATGAGATTGGCAATTCTACTTTTCACCATTAGTCTCTTATACGACAACGTTTATTCCACCCAGATAATATCTGCTCACACAGGTAGCCCTATATCTCAAGCACCTTCGTTGTAATTTTGAATGCTTAAGAGCAAAAAAAGGGCATTATAGATGTGATAATTGTATTTAAAATTGAATTTTTAAGTTTAGCTTGTCATTAGTTTTATTCCTGTTGGATTCTGTAGCTCATTATTTGCTTAATCTAAAGAGCTTATTAGGTATTTAGAATTTAGATCGTTAGGTATTTGGTTGAAGATTCAGTTTATTGTTTCTCTATCTTTGACTTGTGGACGTTTTTCTCTTTCTCTCTTTTTTTTGTTTTGTTTTAGAATAACTAATTTTAACTGAAATGGTTAATGAATTACTTAAACCAATTGATGTTTTTTGGAGGCTGAGTATTTACTAGTAGAAGCTTTAACTGGTTGATACTCTATAAAAGGGCAGCCCGGTGCACTAAGCTCCTGCTATGCGCGGGGTCCGGGGAAGGGCCGGTCCACGAGGGTCTATTGTACGCAACCTTACTCTGTATTTCTGCAAGAGGCTGTTTCCACCGCTTGAACCCGTGACCTCCTGGTCACATGACGGCAACTTTACCAGTTACGCCAAGGCTTCCCTTCTGGTTGATACTCTATGGGGAGCTAAATATTTACTACTCAACTCCGTCCCAATTTAGCTGATGTTGTTTGACTTGGTATGGATTTTACAAAGGAAGGAGGGCTTTTGAAACTTTTATTTAAAACAAGCCATAGACATTTCTGTGGCTGTAAATTATCACATTAAGGGCAAAATGAGAAGTTTAAAGTTAAATTGTTTCAAATATATCATTTTTCGGGACAGACTAAAAAGGAAAAAGTATCACATAAATTGGGACGGAGAGAGTACTAGAAGCTTTAACTAGTTGATGTTCTTGGAGGCTGAATATTTACTATAGTAGCTGGCTTGTGAGGTAGGCTTACCCCGTGCACTAAGTGCTGCCCAGCTCATGTTGGGGTAGGGGAAGAGTAGACGTATACACATGCTAGTCGCCAAAAGAGAAACTTTATCATCGCGCCAAGGCTTGACCTTCACTAGCTTGAGCTGACTAACTTTGAAAGTACTTTCTGACAAATTTTGGATTTTTGTGTTCTAGACGTACTCTCGATGAAATGAAGTTTTGTTCACAATAACCTTTTCGATTCTGCTGTTTTGAAGTTCAAGTTTGATACTCAAGCTGTATGTCTTGAAAATGGTCATAGTTTCAGGAAGTTGATGAGGCCTGTGCATCTTGGGATGTGTCTTCACGTCCTATTTTTTCAGTTGTTTGAGTAGTTTTTTTTTTAAGTCATAGAAAATCAATTTGAAAATAGTTCACTAATCTCGGAAAATGAGCCGCCATAACATGAAGCAAGAGAAGCAGCTAGAAGTACTGATTCACGCCCTTAAATTATTAATCATGACTGAAATAGTACTGTTCACTTGACTGTACTCTAGTGCTGACAAAGTTAACAATCTTGCTCAAAATAGAATACTTTCCACTAGAGTTCTTTGCTACTATTAGGTTGTAACTCTGGTGGTTGATTTCCTGTTTGTATCAGGTGCGTCTTTCAGTCGAAGTTCTAAAGAACCAAAATATAAGGTTGAATTTCATTCAGAAGACACACCCTTCATCCCGGTAAGTTATTTGTCATATCTTTCACTTTTTCAGATATTGAATTTTGTCACACCATGCACTTCAAAGCATTATATGCTTGCAAATATAATTTGATCTTTTACTAAAGAAGATTCTAAGGGGTCGTTTGGTACATGGGATAAGAATAATAATCCCGGGATAAAGTTTAGGATTAACTTTATCCCATGTAGGGTTTGAGATATTAGCTAATCCCAGGATAACTTTTACACTGAAATGGTGGGATGACCTATCCCCTATAAAAGGTATGATAACTAATCACATGGGATATCCCACCCCAGGATATCCCACCATCGTACCAAACGACCCCTAAAGTTGAGGCAAACAAGTACTACTTAAACTGTGTCCATATTTCTGTCCAAGAACTTCTAAGGTTTCCCGCGATTTTCCTGGGTATATATTTGGCAAGTCAGAAGGTTATGACAGGTTATTTCCTTTTGAGAATGGTAACAAGTTTTATATATCAATGTACAAAAACTGTGCAAAAATCATATGTACAGAAGTGAAGCAAAAACAAAAACCTATCGTTAGCTAATTACAAAGCTTCCAAAATTTCTAGGATAGATTCAGTATCCACTAAGGTTATGACAAGTTACTTCAAATTTCTAAATTCTTTTTTCTGCTTCATTCTTATTCCTCCCGTTTCTTAAAATTTGATTTCTAAAAGTTTGAGTTTGTAAGAGGTGGCTGAGGACACAAATGTAGATTGCTTTATCATTCACATTTTCTTTTAGGATACTATTTTTGCAAACTTGGCTTGCGCTATTACTTCTGAACCACAAAAAAAGAAACAATTTTTTATTGCTACACAATGTTTCCATACCCATACCTATCATCTGAAACTCAATACTTAATATCTGCTAATAACACATGAATAATTTTAGACCCTATTGTGCTTGAAACTACAATAAGAATTTAAATCTGTGTTAGTAATAAGTATGACGGATTACAGCAGGAAGCATGCTCAACAGCCTCTTTTGAGCAACGCATTAAAGAAGTATAGTGTCATCCTTTGAATCCTTTATTGGTGGCCAAGTGTGGGATAATGAGAAGATTTAGGCTTCTTTGCTACCTGAGGGAAAAGTACAACTAATTTTTTTCGTTAAGTTTCTACGAAACCAATTGGTGAAGGGAAAGTGAATACAGAATTTGACCTAATATTCTGAGCCAAATTATGAGGAGATGAAGGGTGAATTTACATGTATCATCATTCTAGAAATCTGATGTATGAGTTCACTCCATTTTGCAGGATGATGACCAGGAAGCTATTCTCATGCCCAACAAAGATGGAGAGAAGTTCCTGTGTTATTTGCCTAAAGTTGATAAACCGAAGATTGGTAAACCACTGACACCCAATATAAGCAGTTTGATCGTGGACACTGAGAAACGCATTAAGTGGAAGACACCAGATGAACTACTTGAAGTGCTGAAGGATCGTTGCCTTATCAGGGTGAGAATTCATCTAAGTCTTACCTTTCCACCTGACTTAAATAAATTAAATATCTACGGACCTTCTCCTAAGTACATAATCAATGAAAATTTATTCAACTATAAGTTTATACGGTCCGCTCTAGCTGATCTGTTAGGAGAAGTTGTCTAATTTTGTACAACAGTTATCTTATTAACCTTTCTTACAGCAAGAAGGGTGGTGGTCGTATGAATTCTGTTATGAGAACAAGTTGAGGCAAGTTCATTTGGAGGAGGAAAAGGTATGTCTTTACTTCACTATTAAATATGTGTTTTTCAGGCATTGATTTCTCAGAGTAACCATTGGTTTTCCCTCCAAGAATATTTTAAATATTTAATAGGCTGAGTCTTTGTTGCTGCCTTGCTAAAGCTCCCGTCATGTGACTGGTGGTGGATTGGTTTCTGAAAACTCAAAGGACTCCAACATTGAATAACAATTCTGTTATGTCTTAGGTTTCACTTATCTCGCCTTGCACCTTCTAAAACCACTTGCTTCCCTCTGTTCCCAAAGAGAAGTCCTTTTGTTCCCTCTTTTATTAAAAGATATCGGTGGTATTTAGCTAGCTTGTCTGCACCTTGACTAATCCACCGGGTATCTAGCCTGTAAAGCCACACACATTGCCAAGGTAATCCTGCCCACCAAGATTGGAGTAAATGAGGTTACACCAAGTGCTATAGCTGGGATTCACACGTGGGATCTCTAGATTGTTATTCCCATCTCTCAACCACTAGTCCATCCCATCCCATTCCTCCATTCATTTTGTATTTGTTATATGTATTATTTGATCAATTATTTACCTTATCAAAAGAATGTATTATTTGATTAAAGAAATATTTGTGCTTTCAGGTGGTTCAAGAATTTATCTTGGGTTACTATGATGCCGAAGCTACCGCAGCTTATCATCAGAATCGCTCAGATAATTCAGTGCTAAAGCATCCCCGTTCAAAAGATGCATCACAAAGGTATAGATACCGTAACTCTGAGTGAATAACTGGCTTAGAAGTAGTATACACCTTGGGCACATAGGGAGTCCGCTGACTACCGTTAAAAGCAGAAGCTTGTCAGTTTCAAGTTTCACCATAAGTACTTGGCTACAGAAAATAACTATAATTGAAACATTTATTCAATTTTACGAAATTCTTGGAATGTCTTTCTTGAACTTTTGAAGCACACTGCCTGATGCATGGCACTACTCAAATTTGCTGTGACAGATTAAAATTTTGAATTCCTTCTGCGAAATAATTCTTTTCTCCAACTCTTGACTTCTGTAGATATCATGCTCATATCTATACAAATGGTACCACATGTGATTTAACAAATGAGCCACGACAAACAGAGGTATGAAGCTATTCTTTTGCCTTTTTTTTTTTTTTAAAAAAATTTCAGAATTCTGTATTTTCTAATGGACTCAATTCCAGGTGAGGTTTGTTTGCTCAGACCCTAGAGCTATGATAAGCTCTATAACTGAATTATCCACCTGCAAGTACGCCCTCACCGTACACTGCCCAACCCTCTGCAAACACCCGTAAGTTACTTGACTTGGTGCCCGTTTGGATTGGCTTATTTTAAGTGCTTTTAAGCCAAAATAACTTTTAAGCTATTTTGTAGTGTTTGGATAGAGTAAAAAAGTGCTTTTAAGCCCTTGTTTTTAAGCTAAAATGACAAAAACAAGCCAAAAGCCAAAAGCTAGAATTCCTAACTTATGGCTTAAAAGTTATTTTGACTTAAAAGCCACTTAAAATAAGCCCATCCAAACGGGCTCTTGATCTTATGCCTGCTGACAAATGACAGCAAGCTGTCCTTACTTTTTTTTGGCTGACTTATTTCTGGTAGCTGTTTATATCTATGTCGATACTTGCTTTCATGATTAACTGCTGCTGAGGTATTGAGAGATCTAAGACTTCTCTGGGTAGGAAGTGAAAAATCCAGTTGTTTGTATTTTAGTGTCTACTGCTGGTCAAAAGCAATCATCAAGAAGTACCACAACCTGAAAAGATATGCTTATTCTAGGTCATGCAAACTCAGCAGACCACAATGTTACTCATATGGTGATACTGTAGGACTAAGATACTTCCTCCGTCCCAGTTTATGTGATATTGTTTGACAGAGCACGGAGTTTAAGAAAGAAAGACAGACTTTTGAAACTTGTGGTCTGAAACAAGGCATAGATATTTGTGTAGTTATAAATCATCTCAATAAGGGTAAAATGAAAACTTTAAAGTTAAATTATTTATAAATATAGAAGGTATCATTTTTGGGGGACAAAATGAAAGGGAAATTGCATCACATAAATTGGGATAGAGGAAGTAATTTTATATTTTTCTCCAATATTAGTTGCCGTAGGATTTTCTGATTATCTGATCGCCAGTTTTTGCGTGAGAGAGTCGCACTTGTAGGATTTGGTGCTTGATTGTGCTGTCTAGATGATCCAATTAAATAGGCGATTCAATGACGATGACTTGGCTATTCATATTTCATACACAAGATTTGTATATATCAGGAAATTAAAGGTTCCCTCTTCCATTATGATGCATTATGCTATGACTTCAAAAGTACGTCCATGCAATCATTTAAGTGTGCTTATCTTGACATTTATAGCTTGTTCTCCATATGAGCACATAGACAGCGCATTCACGTGTGCATTTTGCTTGTCAGCCTGTGCTCTGATCGTTAATTGTTCTATGCAGTCTCTTCCAGGAAGAGAGGCCAGTATGGCATACCATTAACTGTAATAAACTTCCGAAAGATTACAGAGAAGCAAAAGCGGAAGAAAACTTTGGACATGAAAATATTGCCATGGTGACAGACTCAGAATATCAGCCTTCGGTTGATTCAGACGAGCACGTGAAAGTGGAGGAAGACAATTCAAATGAACATGCCAAAGTGGAGGAAGACAATTTTGAAGATGAAAATATCACCATAGTGACTGACTTGGAGCATCAGCATGCGACATAAAGTAGACATGACAGATGAAGGGAATTTTTCTATCACTGCAGAAATGCTACACAGCTGCTCGACTTCAATCCTTTTTTCTGTTTTCTATTTACTTAGCTGATTCAATATAGAACTTTTAAAATGTAAAAAAAGAAACATTTTCTTAAGGTGCCATTTTAGTTTTACTTTTTTCTAAAGGGATAGAAGTCAGATTTCATTGGAGGAACTGTAATGTTGATAGAGAAAATATTCAAATACAAGAGTTTCGTTTCTTCTGTTCAAGAAGGGATATACTTTGCGGCATTTTAGCTCAGAATCATTCTAAAAACTTTGCATTACTTTAAGGACTCTGGATGATATGCTTAACTGCCGGCAGAATTAACTTCGTCTATTTTTCTCTTTTTAATTTCAATTTTATTGGGTTGTGTATGCAGAGTGTAATTACACAGAATTTTGTCTGGTTTGTTTTTTGAAGCAAGAAAATCCCACTCCTTCGTATGGAGAATACAAAGTGGCTCTTATGCGTAGCGAGGTAGACCGTCCGTAAGGCACACCACAAAATTACCATCTGGTGGCACGTACGCGTAGCAAACCAGACCGTCCGTATGGCTCACAATATTTGGGTAGGATTATGCGTACACATTATAGACCGTCCATAGCGAACCTTATCTTATGCGCTTTATAGACCGTCCATAGCGAACCTTATCTTATGCGCTTCATAGACCGTCCATAGGTTAACCTTCATTATCCACCTATGTGTTCACAAACCGTCCGTAGGGAACATACTTACGCATAAGTAACATTACAACAACATGCAACAGTCAATATCTTACAAGCTAGGTACTCCTGTCTATAACGTATAACTTCTTCTAGTACTTTCGGTAACTCTTAGTTCATATTCGGCAACTCATAATCCCTACTCATTAGCTTTAAGGAAACTTATAACTATTCTCGGATTTACCCATTCATTGTGACATACTATTAAAAGGCTTTACGCAGAATCAAAAGTTGTATAGAAATTTTTGCATTTTGTTTCTGTAATAAACTGAGATTTAGAGAGCTCCTACTAAGTAAGAACCCTTAATTTATCTTTGACTTTTTTTTATTAAGGATCCGTTTGGCCATAGATTTTGCCAAAATAAATTTGGATTTTATTTGGCAAACACATATTTGGCCATAGATTTTGGCTACATTTTGGCAAAATTCCAAATCCCAAATCCCAAACCAGGCCAAAATATCACTATTATATTTTTTAAAAATTGCCCTAAACTTTTGTATTTTATAAAAGAGCCCACCATTTATTATTTTGTAATAATGTTGCTTCATCTTAGTGTATCATGTAGTTCATTATAACAATGATAATTTTGTAACAAATTTATTTATATTCAGGACTATGATTTGCGATAATATAATGAATGTTATTGATAATGGTACTGTTGGGTATTTGTGATAGTTTTTAGAACTTGTAGGTACAAGTCATGTTTCATATTTTTCCAAAATAAATTTGGGAAATATGTTTTGAAAACTGATATCCAAACATTTTCATCTTCAAACCAAACTTCACCCAAATCAGATTTTTTTCAAAATAAATTTGGGAATCTTCGGCTAAACGCTAAGTATCAGAATGAAATGAAACAAAATATCGTAATCTAGATATTTCAGCTAGATCAGGAACAAGGAGAAGTTGAAATGGGGATGGGTCCAAAACTCTTTATCATAAACGCAAAAGACTATAAAGAAAAGGAAACACAAGCCATCAACTGAAGCTATTTCATTCAAGAACTAGGCTAAGATAATATACGCTAATACGCTATACACAGCAAACTTTCCAAGTCTGTCAAAACGTACTGTACTTTCGAAACTACGAAGACGGACCATCCTCAACATGTACTGTACTTTTAACTACGAAGATGGACGATTCTCTACGTTATCTCCTATAGTTACTAAAGCTAAGTATTCGTTTATAGCTTCACCTTCTTCAGTAACCTCAATGTCATAGTCAGAGTAAGCATCTCCTCTTAGTAATTCCCCAGTAATCGAATCTTCCATTTCCACATCACGCTCCTCAACTTTGTTATGACTTGGACCTCTAGCACTACTTGAACCTGTGTTAGCACCCGATCCGTTTTCACTTTGTTGGTCAGTTATAGGATTATTTGCATTGCCATCTTCCCCTTGATTGTTGTGTAGAGTATCATTTGCATTCTGATCTTCTGTTGCAGCAGAAGTAAGTAGATGATCTAGCGCAGCTTGTTTCGTGCCAAAAGTACGAACAGCTGCAGCCACTGCCAAAACAAAAACATTTATATATTACGTCAGCTCAAAGGACTGACACCGTAAAGATATATTTTCCACATATTAACCTCAAAGCATAACTCATGAAATTCCTCCAATCCCCCACAGCTTTTTGTCCTTTTCCATTTAAATTGGTGCCCGAGGACAGGTACGGACCAAGATGTGTGTGTTCTGTTTTCACTCGATACACATTTCTTAAAAGCTATTCTAACCATTATGTTGCCAAATCACCATGTAAATTAATCACTTCTATGGAAGAATAATGTGGTTATTAAGTCAAAAAAATGGTTCTAGTATACAATAAACAAATGCAAATATAAATTTAACAAATACAGATACCTGCTTCTCTGGGGAAACCCATGGATACAATTTCTTCAATAACAGCATTCTCTGCTTGACGTAACCTTTTCTTCTTCCTTGACTCAATATGTATCTGCATTACGAAAAGAGGAAGTAGATACCAAAGATATTCTTCGATAAATCTGCACTACGAGTCAGATTGATTAATCGTATTTTGTGGGCACCATTTTGAAAATATATCAAAGAGGCAATTCCAGTGTTATTAGTGGCAGTATTGTATTCTAATATTGTAGATTTCTATCTTCATGTTGTTCTTTTCGCTTTGTTTTCTTTTATCTTGTTCTCGTTATTGCTTGTTGCTACTGCTCTTTTCTCATTTTTCCTCGTGCCGAAGGTATATAGGAAACAACCTCCCTATATTCATTGTAGGGGTAAAATATGCGTACTATCTACCCTCCCTAGACCCCACTTGTGGGACTATGCCGGGTTTTTTGTTGTTGTTATCAAAGAGGCATTTCCATGCCACGAATTGTCGAAGCATGGGCTATCTACTAAGGAACGAACCTAGCAGTTGTAAATACAACTTTCTCCTAAAATAAGTAAACGGTTGAATTTATTCAATTGCACAGCGCCAGCAAAATCAGGAGCTAATTCCCCGATTGACAAGCTAGCCGAAGTTTTTTTGGTAAGTCAAATTTTCATTAGAACTACAAAGGTGTCTATATGACTCTAACACGAGTTGATCACCAGAGTCACTCGCTCTACTTCTAAAGATAGATAACAAAAAGTTAGGGACTCTCAGCTGCCGAGGTGGCGTAGTGATAGGCGAGAGCAACTGAGCAGTAAAAAACAAAAGCAGGCATTTGTCAAATTTACCAATTATCTATTTTGAGTTCATACAAATCATTAAAGCAAGATATCCGGACCCATATTTCCTGATATCTCGAGATATTCATTCTCTACCAAAAAAAAGGAAGTAGAGAAGCTGAAGATTTCTCTTGGTCGACTTCTGACAGTAATAATTACCGGGACTTTGTAACATTTGAATTATCACTGACTGATCATGCAAACCTAGATCCAAGTAACTGATAAGACACAGCCCAGAAAATTCCCAAAATTAACAAATTTGTATCAAATTGGATTAGTATCTAATACCTCAGTAAGTACTCGACTAATAGCTTCACATGGGCATTATATTCATGCCAGAAAATTTACCTGTATCGAAGCATTAGCTTCCGGATTTGTCAAGTCATCCAGAGCTTTTTGTGTATCATTTTCATTTCGTCGAAGTGCTTCTGCAGCAAGCTCTTTCTCAAACCTGGTGTTCAGGAATATGTATGAGATTTACAAAAATATCGGGTCACTCAAGACTTAACATAAGCATGCTTAGGATAAATGGATAAAAGAAGCACAGTCATTCTGGTTTATCAACCAAATGCACTGTTTGCTAGTCGAAAAAGTTCTCTATCAGGTTTTCTAATCCAGTTTAGTAATGAGCATAAAAAGTAGTTTAAGTCGAATGGCGTACAACCTCTGGAAGAAATTGCTTAAGTTAGTACTCCCTCCGTCCCAATTTGTGCGGCACTCTTTCCTTTTTAGCCAGTCCAAACAAGAATAGCACATTTTCTTATTTAGAAATAATTTGTCTTTAAAATTACTATACCCTCAACAAATTGATTTACAGCCGCACAAATATCTATGATTTGTTTATTAGACTACAGGTTTCAAAAACTTTCATTTCTTAAACTTCTTACAAAGCCAAACACCACCACATGAATTGGGACAGAGGGAGTAGCTTTCCTGTGTAAGGGAAACAAGAAATGTCTCCACTTGAATGATCTTGTGATACAAGTCTTACTTACCCAATTGACACCAATTCATTCAGTCTCTCGAGATCAACAGCTTTTCCGAGGGGAGTCGTTCCATAACCCTTTTGATCTCTACAGTTTATATGATAAAGAGAGTTTAAGTAATGTAGCAAGTGTTAAGAAAATATACAGAGAGGAATTATATTTTAAACAAATATGAACTCACTTGATCTCCTTCCGCCGCCTGATGTCGTCCTCCCTTTGCCTTGCTTTCTTTTCTTTCTCCTCAACAAGAAAATCAACAGCACTTTCTACTACTTGATTGTTCATGCGCAGGGCTCTCTTGGCATCTCGTTCCTTGTAGCCCATACTCAAAAGTAAGGACAAAGCTTCATCTGGAATTTGAAGCTGTTTTTTAAATAAATAAAAAAAAGACAAAAAATGGATTAACTGTTTATCGTTACTGAGAAAATAAGTATGAAGAATTAACCAAGAGAGAAACAACAAGAGCTGGTATTCCAAAAGAAGAGAAGCAATAGATGTGTGAAGAACCATTCGGCCTAACGCAACCTTAAAAGCTAATAGCTCACGAGGCGGATTGCCCTAGACCTATAAGGAGACCACAACTCATTCTCTCAACCAATGTGGGACTTAACAAGATGTGTATGTAAGCCGTATAAACCAATAAGTCGGCAACACAAGCAAAGCGCTAATTAAGCCAACAAAGCCACAGCACATTAACACAAGTACGCATGCAAGAAGACCAGAGAGAAATGGAAGCAAAAGCAGACACTGGAGAAGAATATATTATATCCTACAAAGAACTGAAAACATTTATCCCGATATCTGTCTATCAGTACAAACAGCAATAGCCAACCGTCATCAGCTTTACCAGAAGAAAAAAAAAGACAGGCTAACCTGCAAAAACTTGGCTTGAGCAGATGTCAAGGACTTTCTAGATTTTTCAATCTGACCGCTATGATATGCCACTACTCCTTCTAGCAGCTCCAACCTCAAATGTCTATATAAAGAAGATATGGAAGCAAATAATTTTAAAATAATGTTGCAAGGAACTGTTTCCAGCATTGTACACAAGCAGTATCAATCTGTGTTTAAGGGATTACTCACAGAGCAATCTCCGGGTATCGTCCTTTTTGAAGCAGTCTGAGACGACTAGCTTCCTTCCCATGAGAACGCTCAAGCCCTTCTCTAGCTTTTGCAAGGCGGACTCCAGCAACTGAGAGCCAGCTGATATCTCGGAGCATAAGGTAGCACCACACCATGTCTATTTGCAGAATCGGCACATTGTCAACCATCTGAAAAGCCAAAGAGGAAGGACGGAATCATCAGAAAACAGCTATAAAGCAAATTTAAGCAGATCAGTGAATAAAGAAATACGCCACAAAATGTTTTCATATATCATTGGAAAAACAACTTGTATGAGTTGCCTGTAAATTATCTGCCTAAACATACATTTTCTATCTGCTGAAACGCTGAGCACTATTCACAAGATAATCTACCCATTCAAGGAAACAACAAATACACAGATCAAATGAACGGAGAAGAGTAAGTAAGGAAGTTCTGTGACTTTATTGCAGTAAAAAACTATATCATCTTCTTTCATTCATTTCCTATAGTTTTTCATAATATATCACTCAAAAGTCCGAGGTCACTTTTTCACATCAATTCTTGGAGGAATTCAAATTGCGAGCCATACCTCCCAAGTTAATCACTGAATAACAAACATTCAGAGCTCTCATCCTAATAACAATATTGCGCAAAATAACAGCACTCAATTTGAACGGAAAGGATAATATATTTTGGAAGAAAGAAATCTAACATACCTCGATGAGTTTCTGGTTGCAGAGAGAGAAGGCTTCCTGCAAAAGAGAAACCACTTCCATATGAGCATTCAACCAGATATTTAAATAATATTGTAGTTCAAAAAATCAGGAATGTGCAATATGGTCTTCACAACAAGAAGAACACAATCTCTCACGACACTGACAACTGGACACTAGAAACAGCACAAGCAAGGAGCTATAGTGGAAAATTGATGCCATAACCACAAGTCAAACAAAAATATAGGTCACAAGTTCCCTATGTGCATGGACTATCCAAAATGCTGCCCCACCCCTGTCGGGTCCTCCAAAAATGCTACTATTGGAGGATCCGACACACAGCCGGCAATATTTTCCGAGAGTCCGAGCAACATACAGATTCGGGCATCCTTTGTATGACAACATCAGAATCTTGTACTTGACTTAAAAGACAGGAAATAGCAAGAAAAAGATTAGGCACTAACTTCTCCCATAGTCAGCACTTCTAGTGCTTCTTTATAATTCTTCTTCCTCATCAAGACTTTTGCATTTGTATGAAGCATTAGGCCCATCATTATTGCTCTGGAAAACAAAAAGGAAATGAAAACAACAGATTGTGTGTCATTCATAGTCAATATGAACCAATTTGCTAATAGGTTAAGAAAAAAACATTGTATACCGTTGATCAGTCTCAGTTCCCAGTTGCACCTTTTGTCCACTCTGATTTTCGAGCTCCAGATTGAAATCTTCAACAGGTAATGAGCCATCCGCGTGTCTCTTCGAGAGAGAAGTAGCAGCAGCCCTATAATTTAAATCATATCAGAAGTTAGCTAGAAAAGAACAGATGAATAATGTCTTGTCCAGGCAAAGAAGTAACTGGCTTAAAATAGAGGCTGCAAGAGCTTTATACATTTACTAAGAAGGAAACAAACTTAAGCAAGATCACAAAGAAATAGTTTCTTCCTCCAGGAAAATATCATCAAGTGTAAGAGTGTTATAAACCCCAATTATAAGTACATTGGCATGTTCGACACGTCTATACCACCAAAGCTACTCTCATTTTTATTTCTTTTTAGCCCGTCCTCCCCAGACCCCACTGGTGGGATCTGGGGTAGGGGTAAGGTCTGCGTACAGTCTACCCTCCCCAGACCCCACTGGTGGGATTTACCGGGTTGTTGTTGTTGTTGTTGTTTAGCCCGTCCAGCCCCGGCATATATATTCTTCTTCATATCGATATGAAAGAGCTAGCAACATCAGAGCAAATAAGTAGAAATCTAAATATTTATTCCAGTCTCTGTCCTGCAAAAATAAATCATAGCTACTACGTCACAACTCACTACCTAAAGGGTCATCATACCACAGCAATTAGAATTCCCATACTCAGTGGATATACCACAGATGAACAAAAATAAACAAAACATACAGACAGAAATAAAGACAGACCTCCCCACACATATAACGATCATCAGAATCAGATTTTTTTTGGATAACCGAATCCCGAGGGCTTGTGACACACGGTTCGAAACTCAATGGATAAAGGGCCTGCACCTCCACCCTTCTCCACTTAAAATACTACCTTTTGTCCGCAGAGGGTTCGAACCATGACATGTGCCAAACCCACAAGTCATGTGCTGGGCTCTTACAGCTAGACCAATACCCGGGGCTCATCAGAATCAGATATAAATAGCAGCTAAATCAGACTACTTTCACTCTGATCATAATTCCAAAATAGAACTCACAACCCTTAGCAAATAGAATCCCCAAGTCAAACTCCGCGGAGACATACAACAAATACACAAATAGATGAACGAAAAGAAACAGCCCCCCCCCCCCACCCCACCCCACCCAAACACACACACACACAAAAATCGTCAGAAGCAAAAATCAATTCCGTGTACCAAAGATATAAGCTAAACAAGACACTACTTTCACTCTGATCACACAAATTTAAAAAAAAAAAAAAAACTCAAATAATTAAACAATAAAGCCCATCAAGTGAATCAAGAAAAACAGTAGACTAACATAAAAACACAAACTTTAAATAACAAAACTCACATAATTTAATAATAAAACTCAAAATCCATCAAGTAAATAACATAAAGAATGACTAAAAAGACACTAACTTTAGCCTTGAAAGTCTACTGCAACGCTCTTCCTCAGCCAAAAATTCTTCTTTTACACACAAAAATCATCATCGGAATAAAAAAATCAATTCTATGTACCATTGTAGATGCTATAAAAGCCACTATTTTCACACTGATCACACAATTTAAAGAACAAAACTCACATAATCAAACAATAAAACTCAAAACCCATCAACAGAATCAACAAAACAACATAAAAGAATGACTAAAAGATTAACAAAAAAATTACTAACTTTAGCCTTGAAAGCCTAGTGCAACGTTCTTCCTCAGCCAAAGATTCATCTTTTACAGACTTGCCTTGATCAATAGAAACCTTAGAAGCCAAAATCTTTGCATTATTTTTAAAACCCAATTGACTTAATTTCTCAGTTCCATCACCATCTTTCAACAATTTACCAGCACATATAAGATTGATCGTTTCAAGGCCTGATTTTTTGGCAATTTCTTCTCTTAACATTGGAATTGTCCATTCTTCTAATTCTACTTCTAGTATTCCACTCCATACCCCACCTATCTTCAATTTTGCTGACCCCATATATGCTTATTTTGCAGAGAAGAAATAAAATTGTACGTATAATTTGAAGTCTTTTAACTGTGTGTTTTTATGGAGAAAGTAGGAGAAGAGACTTGGAAGAGAGAGTCATCTTTAATTACTCTATTTGTTTGGACTTGGGAATCTTGTTTATATATATATATATACTATTTAGATATTAGCGGTATTTTTATTATCCTACAACGTTTAACTTCAAGACAATTCAGTATATTTTTATTCTGAAAAATGGGATTGTAAAATTAAAATTCAGGATGTATTGGCTAATTCCTAAATAGCGACCCTCTAGAATGGCTACTTGGTGTCATTTCTACCTAAAAAGTGTACAGGTTTTGGAGTTTGGACTGCGTCTTTGTTGGATGGTTTTTTACACAGATAGCCTGCCGGAATCACAATTTATTTTTTCTGCCCGGTATATATAGATTGTATACTAATTATATACGATTATATATAAATTATATATATATATATTTATATATATATATATTTATATACCCATTCGCTATATTTAATTTAAGTGACTAGATGGGCGGTAAATTATATTAATTGTTCACTTAAAAGCCATCTAAGTTCTTTTGAGGGTCATTTGTAGTGCATGTGTTTTTAGCTGGGAATGAAAATAGAGGAAATATAAACTAAAATAAAAGATCACTTTCTTGCTCAATTAATTGATGAGAAAAAGTTGAGAAAAATAAGGGAGAATTACATAAACATCTCCCAAGATTTTGACTTGTAAAGCACATTACTTCCCTCCCCCCTCCCCCCTCCCCCCTC